TTAACAACAACATGGTCACTAGGTAAGACAGACTGTCCAGTTTAAGCCTATATAATTAACCACAACATGGACACTAGGTAAGACGGACTGTCAAGTTTAAACCTATATAATCAACCACAACATCGACACTAGGTAAGCCAGACTGTCCAGTTTAAACCTATATAATTAACCATGGCCACAACATGGACACTAGGCAAGACAGACTGTCCAGTTTATACCTATATAATTTACCACAACATGGACACTAAGTAAGACAGACTGTCCAGTTTATACCTATATGATCAACCACAAAATGGACACTAGGTAAGACAGACTGTCCAGTTTATGCCTATATAATTAACCATGGCCACAACATGGACACTAGGTAGGACAGACTGTCCAGTTTATACCTATATAATTAACCATGGCCACAAGATGGGCACTAGGTAAGACAGACTGTCCAGTTTATACCTATATAATTAACCACAACATGGACACTAAGTAAGACAGACTGTCCAGTTTATACCTATATGATCAACCACAAAATGGACACTAGGTAAGACAGACTGTCCAGTTTATGCCTATATAATTAACCATGGCCACAACATGGACACTAGGTAAGACAGACTGTCCAGTTTATGCCTATATAATTAACCATGGCAACAACATGCACACTAGGTAAGACAGACTGTCCAGTTTAAGCCTATATAATTAACCACAACATGGACACTAGGTACGACAGATTGTCCAGTTTAAACCTACATAATCAATCACAACATGGACACTAGGTAGGACAGATTGTCCAGTTTAAACCTACATAATCAACCACAACACGGACACTAGGTAGGACAGACTGTCCGGTTTAAACCTACATAATCAACCACAACATGGGCACTAGGTAGGACAGACTGTCCAGTTAAAACCTCTATAATTAACCACAACATGGACACTAGCTAGGACAGACTGTCCAGTTTATACCTATACAATTAACCATGGCCACAACATGGACAATAGGTAAGACAGACTGTCCAGTTTATCCCTATATAATTACCCATGGCCACAACATGGACACTAGGTAATACAGACTGTCCAGTTTAAACCTATAAAATTAACCACAACATCGACACTAGGTAAGACTGACTGTCCAGTTTAAACCTATATAACTAACCACAACATGACACTAGGTAAGACAAACTGTCCAGTTTAAACCTACATAATCAACCACAACATGGACACTACGTAGGACAGACTGTCCAGTTTAAACCTATAGAATCAACCACAACATCGACACTAGGCAAGACAGACTGTCCAGTTTATACCTAAATAATTAACCATGGCCACAACATGCACACTAGGGAAGACAGACTGTCCAGTTTAAACCTACAAAATCAACCACAACATGGACACTAGGCAGGACAGACTGTCCAGTTTAAACCTATGAAATCAACCACAACATCGACACTAGGTGAGACAGACTGTCCAGTTTAAACCTACGTAATTAACCATGGCCACAACATGCACACTCGGTAAGACAGACTGTCCAGTTTAAACATATAAAATCAACCACAACATCGACACCAGGTAAGACAGACTGTCCAGTTTAAACCTACGTAATTAACCATGGCCACAACATGCACACTAGGGAAGACAGACTGTCCAGTTTATGCCTATATAATTATCCATGGCCACAACATGGACACTAGGTAATACAGACTGTCCAGTTTATACCTATACAATTAACCATGGCCACAACATGGACACTAGTTAAGATAAACTGTCCAGTTTATACCTATATAATCAACCCCAACATGGACACTAGGTATGACAGACTGTCCAGTTTAAACCTATAGAATCAACCACAACATCGACACTAGGCAAGACAGACTGTCCAGTTTATACCTCTATAATTAACCATGGCCACAACATGGACACTAGGTGAGACGGACTGTCCAGTTTAAACCTACATAATCAACCACACCATGGACACTAGGTAGGACAGACTGTCCGGTTTAAACCTACATAATCAACCACAGCATGGACACTAGGTAGGACGGACTGTCCAGTTTAAACCTATATAACTAACCACAACATGACACTAGGTAAGACAAACTGTCCAGTTTAAACCTACATAATCAACCACACCATGGACACTAGGTAGGACAGACTGTACAGTTTAAACCTATATAATTAACCATGGCCACAACATGGACACTAGTTAAGATAAACTGTCCAGTTTATACCTATATAATCAACCACAACATGACACTAGGTAAGACAAACTGTCCAGTTTAAACCTACATAATCAACCACAACATGGACACCAGGTAGGACAGACTGTCCAGTTTAATCCTATATAATTAACCACAACATGACACTAGGTAAGACAAACTGTCCAGTTTAAACCTACATAATCAACCACAGCATGGACACTAGGTAAGACAGACTGCCCAGTTTAAACCTATAAAATCAACCATAACATCGACACTAGGTAAGACAGACTGCCCAGTTTATACCTATATAATTAACCACAACACGGACACTAGGTAGGACAGACTGTCCGGTTTAAACCTACATAATCAACCACACCATGGACACTAGGTAGGACAGACTGTCCGGTTTAAACCTACATAATCAACCACAGCATGGACACTAGGTAGGACGGACTGTCCAGTTTAAACCTATTTAATTAACCACAACATGGACACTAGGTACGACAGATTGTCCAGTTTAAACCTACATAATCAACCTCAACATGGACACTAGGTAGAACAGACTGTCCAGTTTAAACCTCTATAATTAACCACAACATGGACACTAGGTACGACAGATTGTCCAGTTTAAACCTACATAATCGACCACAACATGGACACTAGGTAGGACAGACTGTCCAGTTAAAACCTATATAACTAACCACAACATGGACACTAGGTAGGACAGACTGTCCAGTTTAAACCTATATAATCAACCACAACATGGACACTAGGTAAGACAGACTGTCCAGTTTATACCTATATAATTAACCACAACGTGGACACTAGGTAAGACGGACTGTCCAGTTTATACCTATATAATCAACCACAACATGACACTAGGTAGGACAGACTGTCCAGTTTACACCTATATAATTAACCACGACATGACACTAGGTAAGACAGACTGTCCAGTTTATACCTATATAATTAACCACAACATGGACACTAGGTAAGACAGATTGTCCAGTTTAAACCTATATAATTAACCATGGCCACAACATGGACACGAGGTAGGACAGACTGTCCAGTTTACACCTATATAATTAACCACGACATGACACTAGGTAAGACAGACTGTCCAGTTTATACCTATATAACTAACCACAACATGGACACGAGGTAGGACAGACTGTCCAGTTTAAACCTATATAATTAACCACAACATGACACTAGGTAAGACGGACTGTCCAGTTTAAACCTATATAACTAACCACAACATGGACTCTAGGTAGGACAGACTGTCCAGTTTATCCCTATATAATTAGCCACAACATGGACACTAGGTAAGACACTGTCCAGTTTATACCTATATAATTAACCATGGCCACAACATGTACACTAGGTAAGACAGACTGTCCAGTTAAAACCTATATAATTAACCACAACATGGACACTAGGTAAGACACTGTCCAGTTTAAACCTATATAATTATCCACAACATGGACACTAGGTAAGACGAAATGTCCAGTTTAAACCTATATAATTAACCAGGTTCAATATTAAATAAATATAACCATGATAGCTGTTAATTATTTGTACAAAATGTATCAATTTTTTTGCATACATCAAAAACTTGACCAAACTTATACAAATTGTAGCATTCCAGATGGAAACCTTATTTTGTCACTAATTGTTATGTACATACACCCATAGTCATGCCAATTAATTCGATTGAATTCCTTCAGAATCCTAAACAAGAGGCCCAATAGGTCTGCATTGCTCACCAGGTATTAATCTCACCCATTTAAATTTAAAAATTTACCAATCAAATATACGTCATAAATTAAAGCTATACAGCCCAATTAAAAGTTCTTTGTCATTCAGAGTATGTCATTTACAGTTTTTTAACACACTTAACCATGTGATCTTTAATATGGTCAAGGTCATTTACCTGAACAAACCTGAAAGTGCTTCATTCCTGTATGCTACTGACCAAAAATCATCAACCTAATATCTGCGGTAATAAAAAAAAGTCATTCAAATTTTAAACACACTTGACCCCTGTGATGTTGGATACAGGTGAAGGTCATTCATTGAACAAACTTGTTATTGCTATTCCTTTATCCAAGGATTCTACTGGCCAAATAGGATCATCTTAGGCCTTTAGATTTTTTAGAAGAAATATTTTGAACAGGTTTGACCCTTGTGATGTTAAATTTGGGTGAAGGTTTATATAATATTAGTTGATGCCAGGTGGACATCAGATGTCACACAAGGGCACAAGCCCTCTTTGCCCTTTGGCCAGGTTAGAGAAGAAAATTGTAGTTTTTAGTTTTTTTATACTCTAGGTCTATGTAAGTCATGTTTTAGCACCCATGATTGGATTCATATACAGTAATAGTATCTGTAACAATGGTTTACAAACATTTTTCTTTTCAGTTGGTTTATGTAGTCGAATGTAAAAGGGGGAAAACATCAAGTTTTGGCTACCAGGCCCATATTGCAATATTCCTATGTATAGCATGCTACTGGTTTCACCAGATCTTGTCATCCATGTGTTTAACCTCATACAGAGATAATGTAAATGTCAGTTCTTTTATAACATCTCCATGTGGAAACAATAGATTTCAGTTATCCTGATGTATAAGGCTTCAAGATAAATGTAATCATTCGTTTTTACATTTTTTTTTCATCATTTAACCACTCATGAGGATATAACTTACTACATGTTTACATATATCTTTAAAAAATACATGGACATTTCACCAACAATATGAAACACTAGTCTTTCCTTACTGTAAATGGTTCATCAATCCAAATACATCCCTGTTACTTGTGAGTCGTGAAGTGAGATGTCAAATAGCTTTTAATGGGAAAGCTCTTCCCACAAATCTTACAACTGTATGGTCGAATGCCTGTATGGACGGCAACATGGCAGCGCAGCTGAGTGCTGGTTTTGAACTTTTTTGTGCACATGGAGCAACTGTAGCGCCGTTCCCCAGTGTGGTCCATATTGTGACGCGCAAGACCAGACCTCGTTTTGAATATCTTATCGCATATTTCACACGGAAACTGCCTCCTATCTTTTAAGTGAGTCTCTGTGTGCCTGGCAAGTTGTTTAACCAGCTGGAAGACTTTCGGACATTTAGAACACTTAAAGGATCCTTTCTCGGCATCGTGGACAGCTCTATGATACACCAGGTCCAGCTGATTACTGAATGTCTTCCCACACGTGTCACACATGGTTGGCCTCGGTTCCCTGTGGATTAGTTGATGACTTGCCAGGGAAGACTCCAAGTGGAATATCATCGGGCATTTGTCACATTTGTACGATTTCTCTAGGGCATCCCGTTTATGAATAAGTCTATGATATAGGTAGGCCATGTGGGATTTTAATATCTTACTACATTGGGTGCATTTGTAAAAAGGTTTATCGGAGTCCACATTCTCTACAGGTTCATTCCTTTGGATTTCACCAGATACTTGAAACTTGTCTCCGTATTCCTTTGATTGGTCAACATTGGATTGTGATTGAAAAGTATCTTCATGCTCCTCCAATCGGTGTACACCACATTTCTTCAATTGAAAATCGCCCCCACATTCCTCCGACTGGGTTAAATCAAATATTTGTGATTGTGAATCATCTTCACGCTCTAATGACTGGTGCACAAAATCTGCTTTGGGCTGGAAATCTTCACAGTTTTTGATGTTCAACTTGTCAAATTCTAACTTGTTACTACAGTTTTGAGAATTGTCAACAGATGCACCATCCGATGCTTCTAGTGTGTCATCGTGTACACGTTCATGACTGCGAAGTAATTCTTCGGAGTTGAATATATTGCTACATTTTTTACATTCATGACACTGCAATGACTCAAAACTTGTTTCCAAGTCCATAACTGTATCATCAGTGGCATGCATATTGATGTGTCTCTTAAACTGGCCTTGGGTGGGGAATCCCTTCCAACATTGGTGACAATGAAATGGCATGTCACCAGTGTGATACCTGTCATGGATGACCAGCTCATTTCTAGTTTTGTAAGTGCTGTGACATTTCTCACAGGAATAGGGTTTGGATCCTGTATGGTCCAACTGGTGTCGGTACAGGCCAGGTTTGGTTTTGTAGCATCTTCCACAAATGGGACAAAAGAAAACGTTGTGAATAGACCCGTGGATACACAGATTTTCAATAGATGAGAAAAAATCGCAACAAACTACACACTGATACAAATCATCACAGCCGTTCAAGGCCTTGTGCATCTGAAGGTCACCTTTAGATTTGAAACCCATGTGACAGGCCATGCAGTAATGTGATTGGGCTGATTTGCGTTTCCTTGGTTTATAGTTATACTCCATCGATTCCTCAGCCCCATCTGTTGGGTTATATCTCTGTTGAATAACGCTTTGACCATTATGATTCTTACATTGTCCATACTTGTTTTCATTTTCCCCGAAATTATGATATGTCTGTTGATGATCTTTCAAATTGTCTGTATGTTCTACATTGAAGTCTAATTGGTCACACCATTCATCCGTGTCATCATAAATTTTGAATCCTTTCTTCTTTCTTTGCCTGAGAGAATACCTCTTGGGTTGTTCTTCAGTATCCCCGTTTAAGTCATTTCTTGGTAATGTCCTTGCTTTCTCAGTTGTAACTGAAGAGGTCTGCACAGCGGACAGGGGAGGACAACTAGCCGCCTGCTCATTTGTAAAGGTTTCTTTCGTATCAACCAGGTCTTTCATATGTCCAATGTTCACATCTACTGGGCTGGAGCTGCAAGGGAAGCTATTCTGGGTTTCTTCTGTATTGTTAAGTTCACTTTGAGGTTTCTCCGACATGTTTAGTGGAACCGATTTGGACAGGGGTTCCACTGGGCCGACATCTTTTTCATCATTAATGTTGTTGTAAAATTCACAGCATGTGTCTATTGGGAGAGAGCTGTCCAAAAAGTCTAGATATTCTTCAGGAACATATTTCTTAAACAAATCCTCCACTGTTTCCATGTCATTCTCATTATCATTGCTATGGTCTTTTTCACCCTCCCTTGATATAGAGATGGGACATTCTACATCCGACTTGTTTCCATCTCTGGTATATGAACTTACTTGTTGGAGAGTCTCAAGTACTGCAACATTTTTGTTGGAAGGTTTCACTTCAATGACTTTAGCCGTCTTCTTTGAGGATTTTCCCTCAAGTTCTCCAACAGTCTTCTTGGAAATCTTCGCTTCAATGATTTCAACAGTCTCCGAAGGTGTTACCTCAAATGCTTCAACAGTCTTTTTAGAATGTTCCATATCAATGACTTTGACAGTCTCCTTTAAAGGATTTACTTCAATGACTTCAACAGCCTTTTTGTGTGGTTTTACCTGAATGACTTTGATAGAATTCTTGGAAAGTTTCTCTGTTGAAAGCGAACCTTTCTCCTCCTTTTCTTCAAATTCACCAAGTTTAATATCTATTTTATTACAGACCTCGATGCCATTTATCTTTTCAACTTCCTTTTGTTTAGTGGACTCATTGCCTCTTCCATCTCCTTTAGTGATTGAAATTATTTTCTTGACCTGAGAGGGTACACCGTCTTGATGCAACCACACATCTGGTGTTGCTGCAATCGTCCATTGGATATCTGCGACTGATTCAACTGCAGGTTTAAATTTCTTGGCTTCCATTGGAAAGAAGGATACTGGAAATCTTTGGCTGTGTAAAGATAAGGAAGAACATGTCAGAAAACTAGGGGTCGGACAGCACTACAAAATGAAGGTGAACAAAATTTTCAAAATATCAAGACTTCCTGCTTCATCAAATCAGGACTGTTGTTTCTTATACACTAAACTAAGTATGAAGGGAACGATGTGTTGTAGTTGCTCTATTTGAGTAACTTGTCTGTGGCCTTTTCTCTGATTTTTTTATCAAGTCATGTAAACAGTAAATGCACCGTTTCACATATTTACTAGTACAGTTTTTTAAATGTAAGAGAAATAGATCCAATCATTACAACATCAGAAAGATCTCATTAATACTTTCTGTGGCTATTTTGTTTATCAGACCAGTCTCAAAAGTAATATCGCACAATAACAGACCAATAAGAACCCACATATCAAATTTGAGAAAGATCCTTTCAATATTTCTTGAGAAATAGCGATAATAAACATTCACTGTCAAAATCCAAGATGCCCGTCTGTCGGCCATTTTGTTTATCCAATCAGTCTCAAATGTAAACATGCACAATAACAGACCAAGGGGAACCTACACGTCACATTTGAAAAAGATCCTTCCAGAGCTTGTTGAGAAATAGCAATAACAAACTTTCACAATCAAAATCCAAGATGGTCGCATGTCAGCCATGGCACCCTTAACATGTCAAATCTGAAAAAGATCCCTCCAAATTTCCTGAGAAATAGTGATAACAAACTTTCACTGTCAAAATTCAAAATGGCCTTTATTTGATCAGTCTCAAAAGTAAACACGCACGACTCCAGACCAAGGGGAACCTTCATATCAAATTTGAAAAGATCCCTTCAATACTTCCTGAGAAATAGCGATAATAAACATTCACCGTCAAAATTTAAGATGGCTACCTGTGACTGTCGGCCATTTTTTATATTTGATCAGTCTCAAAAGTAAACATGCACAACTACAGACCAAGGGGAACCTTCATATCAAATTTGAAAAGATCCCTCCAGAACTTCCTCAGAAATAGCGATAACAAACATTCACGGTCAAAATTTAAGATGGCTACCTGTCGGCCATTTTTTATATACGATCAGTCTCAAAAGTAAACACGACAACTACAGTACAAGGGGAACCTTAATTCATATCAAATTTGAAAAAGATCCCTCCTGTACTCCTGCGAATTCCTCAAAAAAATTGTATTGAATTTGATTTATGGGTATGCTAATTGTATTAATTGTATATCTATGTACTGTAAAGCACTTTGGAGTGGCTTACGTTAGCTAGATAGGGCGCTATATCAAATGTTGTATATTATTATTATCAAATGTATTGACGGGTTCATGAGATCTCTTGTTCACAAGCTTTTTACTAGGATGCACAGGCAGATGAACTAACAAAATATCACCATACAACCTCGACAGATGGACACTATTAGTTATATATATAGTCAGTTACTGACCCTCTACAGAACCATAGAGGGTCAGTAAGATGTATAGGGGGCGAGGGCGGAGCCCGAGCCTTTGCTAAATCTTACTGATATAGCGCCCTATCTAGGGTCAGTAACTGACTATATAACGAATTTATCGCATCGAGGACCCTTATTGCGTCACCGAAACGCTTAGTTAAGGGGACGGCACCAACGCTAAAACAAAAGACTGTCGCTGGCGACAACGTCTTACTATTTTTGCCTGGTGTAGGGGAGGCAACTTCTATCATATTACGATATAATGTAGCGAATAGGAATTACGGTGAGCATGGTATCATTTTTAGAATATTCAGGTACCCTTTTCTGTTGTTTTAGAAGAAAAATAAAAAGAAGAAAAATAACAGATGGAAAAGCATTAACAAGTCAGCGGTAACAGTTGTAATAGATTATTTGCTGCCATTGATATTTTTCAGGGAGTTTAAATGGTTACAAATAGGGAACTAAGACCACTCAACCTATACAGGACATCAATCTCTTGACAGTCTTGTAAGATAAATAATGAATATTAACACAACTATGCAATTAACATGAATGGCTTTATTCCTAATAAATTACATCCTAGAACTTACTAGTGATAATAATGGTATGTTTTTCAGCAACATGCTGTCAGCTTTACTTATGTCAAATCTGAACCGACTCATTTCGAGTCTCCACTGTTATAATGAAAACCAATATGTTGGACCACCAGAAGAAAATACAATTATTTCAATGACAATGCCTTGCGGTTATAATTTAGCTTACATCATGATCATTGGTAATAACTAAATCACTGTTGCATATTATGAGAACTCTCAGTTGTTTGTTTACTATCAAAATGACCGATTAACGTTCTCCCGGTTTGAAAGATAAGTGTGTGGGAGGGGGGCGGTGGGAGGCGCTTTCGCTAGTGTTAATGTGATTCGGCAGTGAGTTCGGCGGTGTACCGGCCACAATTTGAGAATCCTCGTTCTGAATGACACACCGATAGCTGTATAAATGAGATAATGCAAACTCTCAAGATGCTAAATGAAGGTATAGAACTTAGTCTCAAGTGTCGTTCAATCCGTGCATCCCAAATGCTACTTCAGGCAATCGGCCTACAAGGCCGGGGCTACTACGTGCCGTGTTACGTCTCACGCTCATTCTAGCCATTGTAAGACCGGGAACACAGTAGCTCTACAATACGAATTATTCAATAACAGTCGTCATAGATTTCTAATGGCTATACTATGGATTCACAAGCATTCAGTAATGTAACAATCAAACGTGTCCTTAATCCCTTCTACTTACTGGACGAGGAGCAGTTTCTACCCGGGAAAATTTTGACTGTGTCTATGAGAGAATCGTGCTTCTGATACACAGCTTGCAATGTACGCATGCGCTACATGGGTTACACAGAAAACGCGCGCTTCTAAGTTCAAATAAAGTAAGGAACCCACATGGACAAGTTAGAACTCGGTTGAACCGGCATCGTTGCCTTGAAAGTCAATTCTGAGATCTATGAAAAACCGGGGGAATGATTGTGCCACTGTTTGCATCTATTAGCTTCCAAAAAATAACTTAGCCTACAACATTTTAATAATTAACGTTATATGGTTATATACACACATTTCCGTTTATTTTTGCTAATCTAAATAACCTCCACGCGAATAAAAATTGTTTGAACTTCACTTTCTAAAATGTGATATTTTACATGACCATATCAGAATGACTAGTGTTGTAAACCTAACCGCAGGGTTTTATTTTTTTTCCGTGCCTCCCCGAGACCAACGGTTAAATAGTTTGACACTCAAAGTACCCGGCCGTGGCGAATTCAGGGGTGGTGCAGACCAAAGTTAACCGAGTCGCATAAGCATTATTATGCGAAAATATCAGTTTTTACATATTTTAAGAATGAGTTTTTACCAGTAAGTAAAATGACGATTAGACATACTATGTTCAAACGATTTTTAGCTAACTGGTCCAAAGGGCCAAGTGGGCTTAGTCCGGCGTCAACTTTTTTCTTTAAATTGCTTCTTCTCATAACCAACCAGGCTGATGCTATTTGGCCGGTAACTTGCTTGGATGAAGGGCCTCGAAGTTTGTTCAAAGGTCACTGGGGTCAAATAAGTTAAAAACTTTTAACGAACAAAAATGGTAAAGGTGGTGTTATTTGGCCAGAAGTATGATAGGATAAATGGTTTCCACTTTTTTTCAAATGAATGACCTTCACCTATATTCAAGGTTACCGGGGTTAATTGTCTCAGAAAAACTTTCAAAATTGTTTTCTGAATAGCAAAAAGACCTATGGTGGTGATATTTGGCAAGTAGTAACTTGCTTGGTGGAAGTCTACCCGTTTGTTCAAATTAATGACCTTAACCGATATTCAAGGTCACCGGAGTCAAATATGTTGAAAACTTAAGTGACTTCTGAATAACCAACAAGTATAGGGTGGTAATATTTGGCCAGTACTAAGTAGCATGCTCCGATGAAGAGCGATCAAGTTTGTTCATATTCAAGTTGATGTCATTGACACACTTTTAAAAGTCACATATGGTCAAATGTGTATAAAAAAGGGGGTCTAGGGTGGCTTTAAGGGCTTGAAGTTTGTAACAATTCAGCCTTTTTTCAAGCAACTCCAATCTTATGAGGATCCGTTTAGTAGCCTACGGGGCAACATTTCGAAATGAACCGGTCTGTGCGGAGTACATGATCCGTCGGTATTGAGGAAAACCGCTGATCACACCATGTTTATTGTAATAAAACCTAAATAGAACACTCTAGTGTCAGGTATAGGTCCTGTTTCTACCACTAATTCGGAAAACAACGATTTCTATTCTGTTAATATTTACCGTAAGTTGCCCGTTGTCACTGTACTGGTTTCAAAGAGTTTAACGCATTCTGTCAACCGGAAGCTGACTCGGAGAAGAGAACAATATCATTAGCATACATCAACAATAAAACAGAAATGTCTCTCAGAGACAACCGTTCGCATGATGTATCAATACACTCGTTGTCATTGACATATATATTGAATAAAGGAAGGAAGATAACCCTTCCCCTTGCACGAATCATTGTGCACATAAAAACATCAGTTCATATTTATACCTAACGTTAGACTTTATCTCTTCATATACTGGTTTTAATAAAGCAGTGTAGACAATGTGGTACAGACA